ATTAACACAGTGTGGAGCTGGAGAAACACAGCAGGCCAGGCAGCATCAGAGGAGCAGGAAAGCCGAGGTTTCGGGTCGGGACCCTTCTTCGACCTGAATTGTCAGCTTTCCTGCTCCTCTGATGCTGCCTGGCCTGCTGTTTTCCTCCAGCTCCACACTGTGTTATCTCTGACTCCAGCATCGGCAGTTCTCGCTATCTCTTTATTTCCATATTGTTGCTTTTGGGTAGAAAAGCAAGGCATAATGGGGAAAGTCTCAAATGCTGGTGATTAAGCCATCAGTGGAATCTTGCAGTGTACATTTCATTATTGTCTCTCTCCATTTTCAGTCATTGTGCAGCGCCATTGATTAGTATTCATGATACAGATTGCTTTTAGTTTTAAGGCTTTACAAGGAAAGCCAGGGCATGAAAATGTTTCAGAAAGCAAATACCTGAAGGAGAAATCAGTGAAGATAGATTAAATTTTAATTAATTTTTAAAGATACCTCTAAAATTTATTCTTCTTCATATGCTTTGTTATAATGCATCTTTTCATTCCCCTCCATGTAACCTTTCCAAATAATTTTCAAAGCAATATTATTTCCACCATCTACAGACTGCAAATCATCATGATCTATTTTCTCACCCGCATCCCCTTTATCCTGGACAGGTTGCACTGACTTCCATGATACAGTAAATTAAAATTTTCATCCTCCCTATCAAAGCCTTTCATACATACTGAGTTCCAACTTTATTTCTTTGCCTCCTCCATCATAGAATGGGGAATGCATCAAGAAAGCATGAGATGCATTACAAGGCTGAATTTGAACAGTTTGGGAGACTTGAGGTGCACCTAGTACCTTATAAAGCTTGGGATGATTGATAGCCTTTGGGGTGTGGTTTAGGTAGATAGAAAAAGGTAGAAGAAGCTACATGCATGGTTTTGATCTTAGAGATTCATTCCTCACACTTGGAATTGCAAATAAGGGTGAAGGGGCAGAGATAAACAGTGTACCGGAAGAGACCGAGGAAGGAGGTTACAGCAAAGAAATCTGCATAAAATCTGAAGGGTGGCGGATAGCAAGAAGAAAATAGAGCGAGGTAAAATGATACTATGTGCTAGTACTCTAAATTGGCATTGAGAAACTCTCCCAAAAACAAAATAAAGTTGGAATTTGAGCTATATTGAGGTGTCCAATCAAATCATTACTTTTGTTCATAGGTTTGAGCGCCTAATGGTACTTACAAAAGCTGCTTTGAAATTTTGACTGCTAATTCCAAAGGGTTGAAGCTTTACAAACTCTTTCATGTACAATGTCAGCAGATGGCACACATTTTCATTTCATTGCTCTGGGCTGGTTTTTAAACTGGGTCACAGATGAAAGGATATTGGGCCATTTGTGAATACTTTTGCTAATTTATCTTCTGAGACATCATTGAAATACACAAACTTTGCACATCTTGTTTCCCTTTCTTGTATTGTACAACTCATTCAGCCAATATCTTCACTTCCACAGGAATCCTTTTGATTTTTAATGCTTCTTTTAATGTTGCAGATTTTAGTTCTAAATTCCCATCAGCAAAAGCCCAGTTGATAATGCATCCATGGTATTACAAATTGGATGCTCACTTTTCTATTATAAAATAATACCAAAGTAAAATTACATTTAGAAAGGAGGAAACTTCAAGTAAATCAGTCACATTGTGATAATACAACTTTCTAAAACTGAAGAGCCTGTATTTTCCCCAATGCTGTCATCCAAATCTTCCTGCGCACACTTGTCTTCCTTACTTTTAGATAGTCAACCTCACTTATCAAAATATACGTTGCAAGACCTCACAGTGCATTTACCTATTATTTTGACGCAGAGAATAACAGAAGAATTAAATGTCAGATTTCCACAGTTGTGAGATTAGAATGAAAAGATCAAAATAACAATTAGGAAAAGTTCTTCTTTGCATTGAGGAGCTAATCATTGTTGCAGTAGATGTTAGGCTTGCCACAAAATTAAGGCAGGAGTAATAGCAATTGGAATTCTTTGTTGAAGACTTTTGTATTTTTTTTAACAGTAAACTGAATTCAAGCCTTTTATATCTTGGGTTATAGCTTGACTGGTTCAATCAGTATTGCTCTCTGTAAATCACTACTTTAATACTCCCGTCATCTGTCCTTAATTTAAAGAGGAGCTTAATTATTTGAGAAAAGCAAATACCGACTAACTTATAAATCGAGCAGCATTGTTGATGGTGGCAGTCTTTAATTTATTTTCTGTTTTTGTTGTCTCCTCAGGATGCCTTACCCAGTAAGAGAATGTATCAGAAACTCAAGAGGCATTACAGAAGTTATAATAGCCAATCAAGAAATGGCAGAGATGTTAAATATTTTTCTGTCTTCATGTAAGAAAATGTGAAGAACATATAGGAAATACTGGAGAATCAGGGATCTAATGAGAGTGAGAAACAGAAAATAATTAATGTTAGTAATGAAAAAGTACTGGAGAAGTTAATTGCAAAAAATAGCAAAATTGAAAAATCCTCTGAACCTCACAGCCCACATCTTAATAGGTTAAAAGAGGCAGCTTTAGACATGATGTATGTGTTGGTTTTGATCCTCTAGAAATCTGTAGGTGCTAGAATGATTCCAGTGGTTTGGAAGGCAGAAAATGTGATCCCGCTGATCAAGAGAAGGGAAAATAATTTAATACATGTTTTTAACGTGACAGCAGGGGGAGAAGTGGTACTATGGCAAAGTCACTCTCATATGAAAGGGAAATTGAGTTTGACTGATCTTTTAGAGTTTTTTTGAGGGACTTAGTTGATCTAGTCCATTTGCTTTTTCAGAAAGCTTACAGGAAGGTTGCAACTCAGACATAGGTTCAATGGATTGAGAAATGGTTCAAAGTCCGAGAACATGGAGTAAAAGTAAATGTGATTTTCAGGATGCCACACTAGTGTAGTTGCACAATAATCAGTACTTAAGACTCAGTTATTTCAATGACTGGATTATTGATTGAGGAAGAAAGTAGTAGAAATCAAATTGTGAAATTATATACTTCAGTAGGAAGAATGGGTTTTTAAACAAAGAAAATTAGAGACAAGGAAATGTTTAGACTTAACGATTTCAATGTTCTTTGTGCATGAATTACAAAGTTACACAGTGTAGCAAGTATGTGGGAAGGCAAATGACATGCTTGCCTTTATTGCAATGGTTACAAATAACAATAGTAAGGAAAGTCTTGCTGCAATTATATAGGGTTTAGATAACACCAAACCTGGAGTTCCGTTTAACCTCTTTACCAAATGAAGGATATGTTTGCCTTAGAGGGGGTACAATGAAAGTTCATTAAATTGATTCTTGCAATAGAAGCATTGACTCATGAGGAGATAATGAGAAGGATCAACCTTCAGTCTCTCCAGTTTAGCATGGCAAATAGCCTCAATGAAAGATACACCACACTTAGAAGGTTTGATAGGGTAGATGCTGAAGGGGTTTTCCCCTTAGCTTAAGTCTATAACCCTAGTTACATTGTAATGCAGGTCGCATTATGTACTGGAAGGTTAAGTACTAATGGATGAGAGAGGATTTTTTTTCCACTTCTTTCAATTATTGCAGTTAGAATTATTGACCTGGGACATGCACTGATAACATGGATATACTGGTAGCACAGTAATGTACTTCCCTCTGAGCTACAAATTATCAAGTGTTATCAAGTACCAATATTGCACGTACTTGTACCAGAATAGATTTTATGTTTCCTCACCAAAATGCAAATCATAAAATTTGTTAGGAAACCTACAATAATACAATCTGTGAATCACATGATTGCTTCTCTGTAGGCTACAGATAACTTACAAGTATATATTACAAGTCTAGTCACATGCAGGTTCTTGCAGCCTACCAAAAATTACATCTGGCTAATCATGTAAACATTGCCTATCAGTTTGCTTTTGATTCAAAGTTGTCATTTTGTCTAAGCTATACTCTGCAATGAAATGATGAGCTTTCAACAAACTTCCTCAGTGCCATCCCAACAAAAACTTTGCAAGTCCAAATAAGTAATCCTTCCCTCATTATTGTGTCTCCTGATCTGTCAAAGTGGAGGTACATAAAGGAATTCAGCTGGCATCAAAAAACTGCAAGTATGTATGATGGGTGGTGAGGTGTTGAAACCAATGTTAGACAAGGCTGAAATTTTCAAATTCTTTCTTCAAGAATTAGTATATTAATGTTGTAAAGAAGACCTGGAACCTTTTTAAGATAGCATCATATTACAATTTTTAAAAAAATGAAAGTGGTAGTTCTGTCTTAACACTAAGCAATCAAACTGTGGACAAAAGTTCTATGCGTCAATTGTTTAGAATGACAAGCATTCTATGCCATTGACAAAAGTTTGTCTTCATTCAATATTGGGAAATGACTCTTCGTTTTAATTAAATCATGAGAGGCACATTGTGTACTTGCCTTTGTTTCAGGATCTATGGGCTTGTTCACTCTGCTCTGATAACAGCTCAAAGACTGACCACCGCCTGCAATAATGAGTGACTTGGTGGTTAGGAGTTTATACTGATTAGAGCTTTATGTAATTGACAGCTTGTGACAGTAATATCACTTTGCAAAACTCTCTTGACAGCCTACATATTGCCTTGAATCAGTCTTTCGAACTCTCACCTGCATAGCTATCATTAGTTAGACCTGGCCTAACTAAGGACATTAGACTTATGTGACTTTAAGGGCCTATATTTAGAGTGAAAGTTGGTTGCATTTTTTAAATATTGAGAAGTGTACGGTCTGTTTGCTTATTTAAAGCCACTTAGTGGTTCAAAGCCTGTCTGTCAAGTTGATAAGCATGTTTATGCAGTGTACTGCAGTGGACAGAACAGAGAATTCACATGCTGTATGTGATATATGTGCTCAGTTACAGTACATCCTAAGGGTTTACTATTATGATCCCCAAGTGGCTATACAAATATAATGGGGTAGTTGAAGCACAACAGCCTCTCCAAGGTGAAAGATTCCATGTGCAAGCTCTTGCCATCGTCCTCACTCTGAGAGACTCCTAGAGGCTGTGTAATTAATCACCCAAAAATCAGATATGAAAGGGTGTATTTCAACACTCTACGTGTGACTAGGCCACAGGAATATCTATTGAATTAATTCATCAAACACAACTGAATTCTTTAAGGCACTAGACCACCTGTAACTCCAATGTCATCAAGTTCCAGTATAGGGCAGATTCCCTCAACCCAGATGCAGAAGCTGGGACTGCTCTGAGATGTGGGAGTAGCAGAAAGAAGAAAACCTTCTGAGGCACATTGGTAATATACAATGCATGCCTAGTATTGAAATTAATAACAAAAATTAAAGGAAGTTCCTCATCACTTAAGGAAGAGAGCCTGGGGGCAATTAATCCAAGAAGTAGTCAAGAATAATTTCCTCTCCTGAAAGAAAATATATAATTCTGGATAGTGACTAGCAGAAAAATACTAAATGTTTGCTTCCCATGGAAAGAGCTTGCATATGGAATATTTTACCTTGCACCACACCATTGGCACTGGTCACACTTCATTGTTTAGAATTGCTCACTTCTGTAAATAAATTGAAAATTGTATGCATCATCTGTTTGTTCAAGTCTCTGTACAGCTTCAAATGCAATCAGCAAACAAGGAAGGCACTCATCCTTGTATCCATGTACCAAGATATGAAGTGAGCAGCTGCTGCACCACATATAGGGAATGGGTAAATCACAGGTGACTGTGACCTCAGTAACCAGACTCCATCTCTCCATGTGCACAGGCACTGCCATCATATCAAAGGCATTAGTGGGTTTCAGTCTTGATCTTGTATGAGATGGTCTGCAATGACTGGAGCATTGTACATGATGAGTCAATGTAAAAGGGTTAGCAGAGATTCCATGCCTTCTGGTATGTTTCCTCTGCAGGGTATAGGTGAGTAGGTGAACATCCAAACACCAGCCTCCCCTCCTTAGTGGCCCATCCTGTCAACAGCACAGGTGTCGCTCCTCACCAAGTCCCCAGCCAAACCCTCTATTTGAGTCTGCAGCTGCTCACTTCCACCACTACCCCTCTCATCCCAGGCTTATGCGGATATAGTAATATATTGTCCTCTGGATCACCCGATTGCTGCTCACTGTCAATGAAAGTACCCTCCCCTTTTCTACATGACTCCTTTCCCACCCAAGCGCTATTGACACCCTGCCCCTTGCATCCAGAGTTGCCCTTCTTTACAACTGTCATTCCCTCTGCATCCAACCCTTTAGCCCTGTTTATCCATGACTACATTCCGTAGCCTCCCTACTGCAGCACAAGGCATCGCCAACCCAAACTTGACTTACAGACCACACACCCCAAACGTTGGACTGGCTGTGGCCCACCCCATTGAGATATGTAACTGAGAGAACCTTTCTGATGTTTATATACCCCTGACTGTGTTACAGAAGCTGTCCAGACTGGTTGCATTTCACATACCAGTCTGGTCATGACCCATTACCCCGACTGCAGAGGTACAGATCCCCTGACTGATAACACCCCGACTCAATACCAGATCATCACTAATCCCCGGGACTGATCTTGGAAGCTGACTTAAGGGTACTTCCCTGGTTTTCGGTGAGGATAACTCCCCTTGGACTTTGAGACGTGTGTTTGCTTGTAGCACAACAGTGTGTGTACTGCTTACACACAGGGTAGGTATGAGATTGACATAACAGTGTGCTCTCTGTTAAGATGTCCGCACCCCCTTGATGGCCAATAAGAGAAGCTGCATTCCCTTGTGTTTGCACCAGGATGCAAGTCATGATGGAATCATTGTGAACCTTTAGGCTTTGCTTGAGGGGCCACTGTGCGAAAAAGTAAGGAAAGGATGCAGTTAGCATGCAGATAGGCGCTAAGTGAGTGAGCAGCCCTGAGATGCAGCCTGGCCCATTCCCTGAATTGGTTGCCTGTCCCTGCTCACAAAATGTTCTTGCAGCAGCATGACTATGATAGTTGCCAATGCGCTCCAAAGTGCAGCATTAAAGCTCAGCAGCATTGTGCAGATGATCAGAAATGTGTCACATGGTGCAGAGAGACTGGTACACATCAGATGCCTGTGGAGTGTGCCCTGAAATGGTGTTGGGTGACCAAGATGGATGAATTTGTGTTATAAGGAAGAACAGAATAATATTGTACTAAACAAGCCAGACATCAAGTATCATTGTCGTGAAAGGTATTGGTGTAGGAATCAAACACCATCATTCCTTTTTTTTTTGGATGTTACCTTTGAGGTGACAAATTTTTAGTCATGTTTTCCTGAGCTTAATAACCACTATAAACTGTGATTTTTAGTCCTTCCTTCCTTTGGAAATTTTCATGCTAATTCCAGTTGGAGGACCCAATTTGAAACTGAGTGAAACACTATCCCTACTTTGTCCAGTTCCTCCTGAAACCATCACCAAGTACACCACTGTTAGGAGTGATCCTCAGTTGGCCTCCTTCATCAACCTCTCCCTTTCATCTCTCTCTCCCTTTCCAGAGCCTACGTGCAACCATGCTTGACACCAAAACTGATGTAACTGGTCAGCTCCTTAGTGACAGGCAGATTTGGTATCCACAACTCCCAACTTCAGTGCAAATGAAGCTCAAGGCCCAATTTCAGTAGGACTTCTATCTTTGATAATGCATTGGGATTGCACCAACAATGTTATGCCCAAAACAGTCAAAGGCTGAATTTCTCTCTCGTTCTATCAAATTCAGTTCAATGACTTATCATGTTTAATATCAAAAATCATGTACAACATTTGAGAAAATGAGTAGGAAGTACTTTAAAGGGTGCATTTACTCTCCTGTTTGTGTGAATCAATTTGTTTTGTCCACATGCTGTGGTTATAACATACACATATCAAAGTTATTGTATGGGCCTAACATGGGAGGAATATTCCTTTGTTTTGTTCAGGCCTTAACATTCTGATTCGTACCGTACAGGACAAGCATGGAGGTGGAATCAATTCTCATAGATGCTAACTTTGTATCGCAAACATGTCATGTTTATTTTGTCAGTCTCACTAGGTGCATTTCTTTAACTGTCAATAATTTGAACCTTAATGCTTTTACAACATTCCCACGGAGACCAAAAAACAACCGGAATGTCACAAATTATTCCAGTTCTTCTGCAATTCCGTACACCTCGAGACACTCCATTATACAATAACATCAGTGCCTTAATCAAACAAAATATAGCTACACATTTTAACAGTATAAACACCATCAGTAACATTTAGACACCTTTGACCTGGCTGTGGTTCCAATGAAAGTTCACTGACTTGAAAAGTTTACTCTGTTCCTTTCTCTACAGATGCTGCTTGATCTGTTGAGTATTGCCAGCAATTTCTGTTTTTATCTTACTATGCTCAGTCCTAATATGATCACCAGAATGACTTAAATGTACCTTATTCAAAAAAAAAGTTTGAGTAATTTCTTTATCACATACCTGTAGCTTTGGTTTCAGTGAGAGTTTGTAGTGAAATCTGTCAAATGTTTTTTGGAAAAAAAACAAAAAGATGCTGCAGTATTTTCTTTTGAAATTTGTTTCTTTCTTTCAAAATGAAATACATTATCAGAAAAAGTGAATGGTCTGATAATCTGACAAAACATCATCAAATTTGACTTACCACTTACTGGAATCAGTGATAGGTTACTGTAATATGCTTTTTCAACAGCATGGGTGAATATAGATGTGTAGGAATCAATTTATCTTATCAGCAGCTTTTCAAGGGAGTTGTCTCATGAAAAGTATCTCATCAAGGGAGTTCTGAGACAAACTGAAATGGATAAATCAAGTTGGGGACCATCACTAAACGTATTTCCTGGTAGGGAACAATTTTGAAATGTCAAAATCACTTTTGTTTATATATTACTATTATCTCAGTTAAAAAGAATCATAGATTTACTCCTAAGTACTGATTTTAATAATTAATATAACTCATGCATATATGCATGCAGGATTCATAAGGAAAGGTCTGAGTAATCTAGATCACAGTTTGAGGTAAATTCAGGATTGATTCAGAAGAGAAATTGTTTTTTTAAGATATATTGCCATGCAATGGCATCAATGATGGTTGAATGTTTCTGTTTTAGAGTCTTGGCGAATATTTTTAAACAGTAATTTCTCCTGAGTTTTTCTGGGAGCCCAGCAAGACTCACAGGGGAATAAGATCAAGAATTTTTTATGTGCCATGAGAAAGATTGTTAATTTGGAAAGGGTACTGTTTGTAATTCAAGTCAACAAATGACTGGTTCAACAAGTTATGAGGTGTGACTCTTAATGGATATAGCCTGCTTAAGTCACCCTTTGCCCTCTTATATTTCTACTATCGTGTTTAAAGTATTGCATTGCTGTTGATAATGGGCATGTCCTTCATGTTGTTTGTGTTTTTGGATTTTTTCTCTATTTATATGCAGCATCAAGCTAAATAAAACAAAGGGGTCTGTTGTCACAGCAAGATAATTTACTTATAGAATTCAATGCTTGACAGTAAGCTATTGGTTTTCCTGAGGTTTACTTCCTGGCTTCAACTGAAATTGCCTACCGATGCCAATAGATGGAGCACTGGACTTGTGAGCAACGTGCCATTTTACAAATGGGGCCTGAATTAGGTTGGTTTTAATAAGTGGCATTACCATGAGCAAAAACTGTGGAAGATCAATAACAGCAGATCTTCAGATGTCTAGCATGAAACTAGTAGTCCTGGAAGGAAAAACAGCACGCCAAGAAGATGACACAGTGTGGAGCTGGAGGAACACAGCAGGCCAGGCAGCGTCAGAGGAGCAGGAAAGCTGACATTTCGGGTCGGGACCTTCTTCGACCTGAATCATCAGCTTTCCTGCTCCTCTGATGCTTCCTGGCCTACTGTGTTCCTCCAGCTCCACACTGTGTTATCTCAGACTCCAGCATCGGCAGTTCTTACTATCTCCATACCAAGAAGATAGTTCCCTGTAAACTAAAACAAAAATGCAAAAGGTAGCAGTTGCAATATTGTGCAAAGTCAAGTGATTTGCAAGTGTGGTATAATGGGCTAAAGCTTAATTATTGAGTTGCAAGAAAGTAATTCAACAAACATGTTAAGAAAATGACACAAACGGAAACTGCTACATTGCGCAGTGCAGGCAGTTCATGCAACCAACAGTAGGTGGGTGGGGATAAAATCTACATGGTCATAGTACAGGCTGTACAGTACAGTAGGGATCCTGCTACTGAACACATCTCAACAGGAACTGATTGGGGTTGTTCCTACGAACTCTACATATTTGCATATCTGTGTGTCAGTGTACACACATATAGTGGTCATGTGTTTTAGCATTAGATGGAAGAACTTGGATATCTATAGCACCCTTCCCAATCTCAGAACTTTCCAAAACACTCCATAACCAAAGGATTGAAATAAAGAAAATGAGGGTGGTCTACTTTTGCCTTTTTCCCTTTCAACCAGAAGACAGCCATCTCTAATGCACTCGCCATATGAAACTTAAATTCAGGTACAGAGCCCTTTTCCCTACCTGTGGAGAGGGCAAGACTGGGATTTGGGAAAGTCAGGCTTTGAGTAGGTTGGAGAATTGAGAGAGACTGTGAAATGAGTGGTCAGGGGGAGATGGAGACCAAGAACTGCAAGATCAGGACTTGTGTGGATTGGAGAGAGGGATACGTTTGGTGTAGGGCCCAGAAATTTCAACAGTATTGGAAGCAGCAACATGGTAATCAGGGGGAGGAGCAGCCAATAAAGGGGTGAGTGAAAGCCAGAAACATTACTCTGGGTAAAGAGTGGAAAAAGCTTGTGAATCAGTGAGTGAATGGGTTAACAGGAGTACAGAGACTGATGAGTCTCAGAGAAGAACCAAAGGGAAAATGAAAGCCTTGCATTTCTCAGCTGCTTCATAGCAGCAGTTGGTGTGAAACTATGAGCAAAGATGCCAAACTACAGGAGACCAATCTTTATAATGTAAATGCACTAACATCTGCAGACACAACATTGATCAGAAAATCTCACGATCAAACCACCAACCACAGTCGGTAAGCTTTGTTACTACTATTTTTGTGAGGAAAGGGCCAAATGAAAGCCAAACTCTTCCATTTGGAAAGACAAGAGTTGGAGGGGGAATGGTCACAGAGCGGAAGAGGCCCATTGTGACTGTGTTGGTCATCAAGCATCTGTATATTCTAGTTACATTTTCCAGCACTTGGCCCATAGCCTTGTATGCTAGTGTTTCAAATGATCATCTAAATATTTCTTAAATGTTGTGATGGTTCCTACCTCTACCCTCTTCCTGCAATCACTCCCAGATACTCATCACACTTTTTCGGTAAAAAAGAATGCTTTCTTAAATCATATCCAAACCTCCTGCTCTCCATCTTAAAAGTCATAGTTATTCACAACAGATTCTTTCTATCTACCCTATCTATGCCCCTCATAATTTTGGACACTACATTCAGGAACCTCCCCCCCCACCTTCACTGCATTAGAAAAATGACCCTGGCCCATCTAGTCTCTCTCCATACCTGAGTGACTTTGGCCAATCAACATCTTGATGAATCTCCTCTGCACCTTCTCTGGTGCAACGACATCCTCCCTACAATGTGGCGACCAGAACTGCACACAGTACTCTCAACAACATTATGTACAGCTTCATCATAACCTCCTTGTTCTTGTATTCAATACCCTGAGTAATAATGACACATATCCCATATGTCTTCATACTCACTTTATCTACCTGTCCTGCTGTCTTTAAGGATCTGCAGACATGCACACCAGGGCCCCTCTGATCTTCTGTACATCCTGGAGCGATACCATTCAACACAGAGTCATACTGAATGGAAACAGACCCTTCAGTCCAATTTGTTCATGCCAACCAGACATCCCAATCTGACCTAGTCCTATTTTGCGAGCACATAGCCCTTATTCCTCTAAACCGTTCCTATTTGTATACCAATCCAGATGCCTTTTAAATGTTGTTATTGTACCCACTTCCACCACTTCCTCTGATAGCTCATTCCATACACTCTGCGTGAAAAAGTCACACCCCAGGTCCTCTTGAAATCTTTCCCCTCTCATTTTAAACCTATGCCCTTTAGTTTTGGACTCCACCACCCTAGAAAAAAGTCATTTGCCATTCACCCTATCCATGCCCCTCATGATTTTATAAACCCTTCAGTCTCTGATGCTCTACCAAATAAAGACCCAGCCTATTCAGCCTCTCCCTATAACTGAAACCCTCCAATCCCAGCACCATCCTTGTAAATCTTTCCTGCACCCTCTCAAGTTTAAGAATATCTTTTCTATAGAAGGGCGACCAGAATTATACACAGTATTCTAAAGGTGACCTCACCAACGTCTTGTACAGCCACAACATGATATCCGAACTCCTATAATCCATGTTCTGACCAAGGAAGGCAAGCATGCCAAACACCTTTTCACCTCTGACTCCACTTTTAAAAAACCGCACACCTGCACCCCTAGGTCTCTTTGTTCGGTAAGGGCCCTAGTCTTGAGAGAACTTCAAAATGCATCACCTCAACTCTTCAGGTTTAAATTCTATTTGCCAATGTTCAACCCATTTATATTGTCTTGTAATCTAAGGCTTTCCTTCTCAGCATTTAACACACCATCAATTCTCACATCTTTTCTATCACGTATCTCTGAAACCTTAATTCACATTTGTGATCAAGTCAGGAGCTGCATTTCTGTAATTTGCTCCTTATTGGTCTTCCCATATCTGGAGACTACTGCAGCTGCCTGAACACTGTGACCTCTGCTCTACTAATACAATGACTCTGTTGTTACTATTTCTATCAGTCTCTGGTCGTCAAGATCGTTTCTCTCACCTTCATGGCCTCAACCTCCTCGACACTATGATTTCCTCTCACTATGTGATATTTCATTCAGTGTCTGCTGCTTAAATACTGGAGTATAACGAGTACATTTCAAAAGCACTTTATTGGCTGCAAAGCTCTCTGGGGATATCTGGGGTCACGCAGGATGCTATATAAATGATTTTTTTTTCTTTTACTTCTTATTCCCCAATACTTCTCCAAATGTCAGTGAACTCACTTTGTTGTTTATGTCACTGTTCTTGAGAGAGTCTCACTTCATTGCCAGTTCAGCATATCGCTCCCTAGTGTCCCAGCCATTACTTTTCCCATCAACATATAAAACAAATTATCTGGTCTTTATCACATTGCTGTTTGAGGTTGCTATGTGCAAATTTGCTGTTGCACTTCCTACACTACAACAATGGCCACACTTTACAAAAACATCCTTCATTGGCTGCAAAGTGCTTTGAATTGTGTGGTGATCAGGAAAAGTGCCATAAATTGGAAATGTAAGTCTTTTCTTTAAAATTTGTTTGTTCCTCTTGAGCAGCATCCACTTTCTAAGGGATTTGGAAACATCAGTGTAATTAGACTGGACTCTGTGCTCGAGATAGGATCTGACCAAAACCCTCAGTGGTAACAAGGTTATCTCTATCAGTTCTGATGAAAGGTTACAGAGCTGAAAAAGTTAAGTCTATTTCTCTATCGACAGCCTGACTTACTGGATATTTCCAATAATTTGTTTTGATTTCAGATTTTCAACATCCACAATGCAAGTATTCTTCTTTTGCAATCTCAGCCAGTCTATCTTCATTCAGCATGGTATTTACAATTTCATAGCTCTGAAGAAGGGTCACTGCTTTCTCTCCACAGTTGCTGCCACATTTATTGAGATTCTTCAGCAATTTCTGTTTTTGTTTCAGATTTATATTTAAAACTGCTTGAGAGCACTGGGTTCACTAATTTATGGTGTTGACAGAATAAATACAGAATTTATCTGATCAACACTTTCAGTTTAATATTTCTTTTCAATATAATTTCCATTCAGTTAGCTTCATCTTTTGCATTAATTGTCCTATCCTGATTACTTTTTAAGAGACCAAAAAGTGCAGATAGTGAACATATAAAACTGTTTCAATAGCATCTCTGCAAAAAAAAAGGTTAACGTTTTAGGTTTGTAAAATTATATCTTCCATCTTCTGATGGAATAAATCCAGATAGTAAAGGAAGCTATAAAGAGGACATTAGGAGGCCCACAAAGGAATCTAAGTAGGTTGATGGTCAGCAAGATCTAGTGAATAAAGTACAATGTGGGAATACATGAAATTTTTTCATTTTGGTAAGATAAGAATGGTGAGCCCTGGGATGCAGAGGGCTCTGGGTGTCCTCATGCATGAATCACAAGATTAGTATGCAGGTACAGCAAGTAAAAATTAAGAAAGTTAATAGAATTGTAAATGTATTGCAAAGAAAATTGGATGCAAAATGTGGAAGGGTACACTTCAGTTATATAGGACAGTCAGACTGCATTTGCAGTACTGTGCACAGTATCAGTCAGCTTATTTTAAGGAAGGATGTAAATGCATTAGAAGCAATTAAGAGAAGGTTTACCTGAAATGTCTTATCAGGAAAGGTTGGACAGGCTAATTTGTATCTAAGATAACAAGGTGTAGAGCTGGATGAACACAGCAGGCCAAGCAGCATCAGAGAAACAGGAAGGCTGACGTTTCGGGCCTAGACCCTTTGTATCTACTTGAGTTTAGAACAGTAAGAGACAACTTGATTGAAACATGCAGATCCCGAATGAGAGTTCTTGTGGTGCAATGGTAGTGTCCTTGTTTCTGACCTAAGTGTCTGGATTCAAATCCCATCTGCTTCAGAAGTGAGTAATCACATCTTTGAACAGAAAATATCTATAAAACCCTGAGGAGTTTTCAGAGTGGATGTGGATAGGATATTTCTTCTTACAGAACTTGAGGTCACTGTTTAAAAATAAGGCATTG